CACCTGTGCAATAAGCCCGCAGTTTAGCCTCAGGCCTGCTCAACCCTCAGGCCTTCCAGCTGGAAGGAAGCTGCAGTTGCCTGTGCTAGTCTAGGCGTGGGGCCCGCACAAGTCTGCTGGATGGGAACCTGGATCCTCATCTGTGAGCAGGCACCCCCCGGGGGCACTGAGAAGCACCGTGGAGCCGCCCAGCTGTGCCCTCCAAAGGTGACCAGAGAACAGCCATTTAGTGTCGACTGTGCGGGGAGTGGCGGGGAGAGGGGAACAATAAAACAAGGAATGTTTTCAGACTTGTGTGCCTAATCATCTCCTTACCCCCAAAACCCCCGGTAAATTAATTCTCCTCTAACTGCCTTTGTTAACAGTAGCTTAATAATCTCTAATTATTCAGTACAGACTCTGAATGTCTCACAATCCTCTATTTAATTATTAAAATTTAAAATCTAACTCTAACAGCCTTTGGCACAGGCTGGGTGTGGTTCTGGAGTGTCCTGGTGGCCGGAGGCTGTCAGTTATAGATGGGGTGCTTTTTCTGTGTCCACCACCAGTGTCCTCCTCCTGCCACTATTTTATCATCGAAGTCCCCAAGGACCAAGGCCGTCCCCTCAAGCAAAGCCTGCAGGACACCCCCCTGCAAGAGTGAGTGAGGCCCCTCCACGTTGCACTGGGCTTCAATCTCTGGAAGTGAGAGCAGGGGCCCTTCCTGTGACAGCCTCCTCCACAGCCCTTGTTCTCTATCTAGGCCTCTGTCCATCCTCACCTCCCAGAACAACAGCGGGGTGGGGGCGGCTCTAAAATGATGGCCTCGCTGGGGAGAGAGCTGGTCTTGCGCATGCCCCATGACAGCCAGGCTATAAGCCTTGGCTTAGGACATCTGCTTTTCAAAGCATGTTTGACCATTCAGGACACACGTTCAGGCTGCAAAGTGAGCAGGGGGGATGTGGGGGTGGGGTGCCAGAATCCCAAGCAGCAAGGTTGGGGCCATCCCTCCCTGCTTCCCACTCAGAAATGCTCAGAAACTCGGACCTCCCAAATGCTCCAGTGACTAGGGGTCACCCCACAACCTGACCCTGAGTGACCCTCTTCTTAGACACCCACCCAGTCCTTGGTCCAGTCACACAGATGGCGCAGCTGCACATCTCCTAGTTCAAAATCTGTCCACTCCCGAAACATTTGCTTATTCACTCAGAACATTATGAAGCATTGCCTGCCTGCTAGGCCTGTGCCAGTTGTGGAGACAGAGTGGTGAGAAGCAGAACCTGCCCATGTGGGCCTGGTAGTCTGACGGGAGACATCAGCCATAACATCAAAGCAGGGTGCTTTTGGTCCCACATTCACACCAGGGGCTCAGGGAGACCCCCCCGGAGGAGGTGCCATCAATAGGAGTTAAGCAGGCACGAAGTTCAGGCAAAACATTTACAAAGTTTGGCCTCCCTGGTGGTGCAAGGGGTTAAGCACAGCACTGTGAAGCTATCCACCGCCTCTGCAGCGCAAGTTCAATCCCCAGTCAGCCAGGGAGCTACCCACATGGCGCAGCAGACTTCTCCTGTCTCCCTGCTGCTCCCCTCAACAATGTATTTCAATAGATCTGCCTGTTCTGCTACCCACTTTGTCTCTGGTGAATCCTCTCACCCCCGCCCCGACACCTCTGACCTGTACCCCAGTTCTTGTATGCATAAATAAATAAATCTTTAAAAAAAAAAATTTGCAAGGAGAAAGCCTGTGCAAAGGCCCTGAGTTGAGAAGAGGTCAGTGTCTGAGCAAAGCTGCTGGGAAGAAGGGAAGAGGCAGCGGCAGACAGAGTTCTGGTTCCAGTGGGAACTCCAGGTCTTGTGGAAGCCAGGCCCTGCAAAGCTCGAAAGAGGGAGTAGCATGATCTTCCATGTGCTTTCACAGATTCTGGGCTGGAAGTTTGGAAAGCACAGAAATGAACCAGCTGCATTGTCCCCAAGGAACCAGTGATCCAAGCAGAAATGTCTACGGCCACTGCCACCATGCAGGTCTGGAAGGACACCCAAGGTGGGTGGGAGGACCCAGGGCAGCTTCTTGGAGAAGGCTCCTGGATTTTCAGCTGTCTGGCCAGGAAGGGGAAGCAAGGCCAGAGTAGGGTAGGCTAGGCTAGCCCACCTCCTTTAGTCCTCAAACACTCTCTGAAGTAGATATTACATTTCATCACCATTTTATGGCTGGGGAAACTGAGATACAGGGTGGCTAAGTAACCTGACCAATGCTACCCAGCATGGGAGCACTGGCAGGACTTCCTGGGGAACAGACCAAACCCACTGCTACCTCTGAGCCTGGTCTCCCCTCAGCACAGAGGTAGGGGTCCCGGGACCCTCTTCTCTCACCCCTCCCCACTGCATCTTCAGCTGGGAATATTCTGAAGGGGCTGAGGAAGGCTGGGAGATTCCCAGGCCTCTATGCAGGCGAAGGCAGCTGGAGCACAGGGCACAGGCCAGGCGGGTGGTGAGCAGGACTCTGTCATGAAAGAGGAGTATAGAGGTACCCTCCCCCGGGCTGTACCTGGACCTCCCAACAAAGAGATGATGACAATGCCCAAGGCCACAGATATCCAGCTGTCCAAGCAAGGCCAACTCTGGGTCATTTCCTAAAGCCCCAGTTGCAACCTTTAGGGGCTGCCTCCCTCTCTGGGTTCCCTGGTGGCTCTGATGGTCCCCAGAGTTATGTGGCTGCATCGGGACCACCGGGCTGTGACCTGGGCAGGGAGGAAGATGGCAGTGACTGCTTCCACACAGCCTCAGGGGCGCTCCCCAGGAGCAGGGTTCAACCCCCTAAGTCAGATATCCAACCGTGTTGTCAAAATCAGCAACTGCTAGCCTTGAACCTGGGCTGAGTGTGTTTTCTTTCAGGCATGATAATACTACTTGGTTGTTTTTAAAACCCTTTTCCATTAGAGAAACATGCTGAGCACTAGGGACTAAGTGACAGGAGGCCTGGGATCTGCTTCAGGGTTGGGGAGAAGGGTGTGGGAGGGTACAGATGGGAAAAAATTGGCCACGAGTTGATAGCTATTGAAATTAGAGGTTCATTCCACCATTTTCTTTATATCTGGGGAAGTCTGAAATTCATCCTAATAAAGACTTTAACAGGAAAAAATGCTCATGATCACCCCGGGACTGGGCAGTACAGTGGCCCGAGTATGCGGGCAAAGCGGGGGCCCAGCTTCCCTGGCCCAGAGCTGTCCTGCAGGGAGATGGCGGCAGGCAGAGGACCTGGCTGGCTGCCCTGCCCCAAGCCAACCTGGGCTGGGCCCAGCACAGGGTAGGCACTGAGAGGAGCCGCCGGGAACAAGGGCTCAGTGGACTCAGAGGCAGAAAGTGGATGGCTAGTCAGGGATTAGCAGCGGCAAACGGAAAGTAGGTGGGAATCTTAGTCCATGACTGGAATTTCAGACATCCACTATTTTCAGTCTCCCTGACAAGCTTGACACTTTGAGGATGCTCTGCATGGTGGGATAAACAGGGGGGTGTGAGATTATTTTAGAGGAACTGCATGATTCTGCAGAAATGTACCCAGGTGGTTTTTTAGCTTGATACTCACAAACTCCTATTCATCCTTCAAGATCCACGCAACTTCCCCATGCAACTCCCACCTTGCTCTCACCCCACACATGCAGGTTGGAGAGCTTGCTTGGGTGTGTTTGCTCATCACCAAGTCCTCAGTCCCTGGAGTGTAGGAGGTGCTAAGTAACCTGCTGAGTGATGGTCTTCCGCCTTAGTCTGGGGGACATCTGAGTATGGTCTCTCTCCTCCTCCTCCTCTTTCTTCCATGGTCTGGCACAAGCCCATGGTATAAGACCTAGTGTTTCTTCTGCCTACGGGACTCCACATGTATAGACACATCCCCCCGAAAACAAGTAAATTTAACACTGGCATCCTACCAGTGCGGCCCACCCAATGGCAAGGAACACAGAAGCTTCCCTGCGTTCTGGAGGCTCAGTGCATTCAGCAAATGCTCGGTTAAGTGTTAGCTTTAGCATTGTTATTAGTCTAGCGTCAGGCCAAGCTTGACCAAGCACACTAGCTAGAAGTCTGCTCCACTCAAAGGCCCAGCTGAGGGCACCTACAAAAGGCCTCACAGCTCAGATTTGTGTCCCAATGCTAATTAGGGAGACCGCAGAGCACTAGACAAGGTGCCCCTCAGCTCCCATCTGACCCTGGGACCAGAGGGCCCAAGGGACTGTCACTGCACTGGCTGGACCACCCCTTCACACCCTCCACATGGACCCTGCCAGACCCCTCTTCACATCCTGGCCTTCGCCCCTTCACATCTGTTCTCTGGTGTCACCTGCTTAAGGCAGCGCATCTATCATGGTCCTGTCAGTCAATCACCCCATGTCCCCTGCACCCTCATGTCCTGCCCCACTCCCACCACATGGAGCACTATTGGACCCCAGCAGGGCAGGGCTTTCTGCCTGTCCAGAACAGGTCATTACCCAGCAAGGGCGTGGGAAGTCCAGGGCAGGTAAAACTATATGCCCAGCGCAAGCTCCAGGCCAGCACCACCCTCACCTCCCACTAGCCCACCAAACCCTCCCTGGCACAGGCAGTGTCACCCCCAGAACACAGAAGTCTGGGAGGAGCTGAGTAGTAAATGGACCCTTCACATAGCCCACACAGTCGTGCCCAGCTACCTAAAGTCTTTGGGTCACCCAGTTCCCCTCCAGCCCACAGTTCACAGGCAGATTTATTATCTGACCACCACAGGGACCTGATCATTTCAGGTAAATCCCCCTCCAGCCCTGAAGAAGCAAGAGGTACTCTGAGAGGCCCCGAACCCACGTGAAAGTGCAATCCCTGATTCTGGGGGTGTAGGTCTCTCTCCCACCCAGGCTCCATTTTGCTGGAGGCGCTATTCATGTCCCACCAAAGCACCACTGCCACTCTCTCTGTGCCCAAATGGGCCTCAGACTGGGCCAGCTGAGCTCCACTGCCCAGCAGGGTGCTGCCCCTGACCCGGCCCTGCCCACACAGCCCTACCTCTGGCAGACAGCTTCTTGGTGTTGATGATCTTGGCTGCATATTCATGGCCTGTGCAGAGCTTGACACAGCGTCGAACCACAGAGAAAGCCCCCCTGGGGAGGAAAATGGCGGACAGAGACAGACAGAAAGAGAGAGAAAGAAAGCCAATGAATTTCCCTGTGAACACCCAGCCCAGTCACGTGGCAAAGATCTGTGCGAGAAGGGGGTGCCCCTCCCCAATGGCCTTGGCCGGCCCCACCAGGCCCCAAGCAGACAAAAGCCCCTTCCTGACTGCTTGGCAGGCTCCTACCTGCTGGTACACCCCATAGGATTGCAGGAAGTGCCGCTGCTTGCCTGGCCCTGGCTCTGCTCCTGAGGGCCCCAAACCTCAGCATCCTTGTCGTCAGAGGGACTGAGGGTCATCCCCAGGGCCTCTCACATGCATTTTCTATGCCAAAGGCTCTGTGGGTTCCATGCCAAGTCCACAGACAAGCCCAGGACCCCAGAGAGTCATCCCCAGAGCATGCAAGGTGGCTGGGCTCTAGAGGACAATTGTAGATTGTTACACGGGACTCACAGAAGGTTGTGGAGGGAGAAGCATCACATCGTTAAGCAGCATAGCTGGAGGCGAGGCTCCCTCCCCCAATCCTCTGTCTCCACGGTCAGGAGTGAGAGCAGAGGCTAAGGAGGGAAAGTCCCACACAGAAAGGACATTTACATGCCCACAGCATAGTGCTTCAGAGAGAACAGTGGGGACAGCCTCACCTCTGTCTCAAAAAAAAGAAACCTGGGAAAGTGGGTGACTTTCGTAAGGCCATCCAGAGAGGCCTTGCAAGTAATCCACGAACACTGACCCTGAAGCCAAGTTGTTGGTGAGGGACCTAGAGACTGGGCAGGCCTGGAGCCCATCAGAAGTCCTCCATAGTGTTCAACTTGTCACCACTGTTGATTTGATTTGATTTCCAATTAATTTCTAAGAACATCAGACCCAGCACGGATGACATGGAATAGGCTGGAATAGGAAATGTCATGGAAGGGGACAGGCAGGTCCAGGGTCCAAGTCAGCTGAACACATGTAGAGTGAATGGGCTGGGGACCCTCAAACCCCTCTTCTGCCTTCCGCTCCCACAGAGGATGACAAGCCCAGGACCCCCTAGGAGCACAACCTTTTCTGGCTGCCCCACGGTCTGAGAAACCCGGTGCTGCCCAAACCAGGGGCTCTAGGAGACAGAAAAATAGCACCTTCAGTAGGAAGGTGCTATAAGCACTTTTTTGCTATAATCATTTTTTGAGATAAAACTTAGTAAAAATGTGCCATTTGAAGAATATAAATATTCTTAGAAGAATATAAATGTTACAGTGAATCTGATTGAAGATTTTCTTAAAAACCCAGATCATTATGATTGATGAATATACTTAGAGCTGCCTCTTTTCCAGGCAGCCCAAGGAGGGGGCAGGGCTGCCTGTGCGGGGTGAGAGGTGGAGGGGGGTGCTGCCTGCTCCACACCTGCTCCTTTCTTACTATGTGCATGAGCTATGTTCTCAAAATGTGCTTTTTTATTGAAAAAGATGTGAAGAAAGGATGATTTTTTGACCCTGACACTCGCCTGGGAGACAGTGCGGTGAGCGAAAGCCAGAGGCTTCATGTGGGTCAGGGTTCAATTCTGGCTCTGTGGCCTCCTGGCTGCAAAGAGGGGTACTCTCCAGCCCTCCTTCCCCAGCCACCTCATGGAGCAGGAAAGGTTCACAGGGCAGCTGTGAGGACTGAAAAATGACCCTGGGTCCACGGCCACTGTCATCTCATCCCCACTCAGTCCCTGCCTCCCTTCCCACAGCACCAGCCTCTGCCCCAACCTGGCCTCACAGCACAAGCCTGACCCTCAACTGGAAGTTCCAAAGAGCCAGACTGCATGTTTATGGGAGCGCGTGGCATGGTTGGTAAGGCACACACAGTGCCTGCCCAGGGCACACTCATCCTTGGAGCAGGAGGGACCCACACAGCCCCCCAGCTGACCAGCTGCTGTCCAGATGGGGTAAGCGCACAAGCGAATGACAGTGAGCCAGTAAACTCTTGCAAGCATATGGCAGGGAGGGCCCAGATGAGGGATCCCAGACAGAAGTCTCAGTCCCCTGCCCCAAGCTGCTCCTCTCCAGTCAGACCATGGTTTTTCCTCCTGCAGAAGACACTGGGCCTGGGCTGGGGAGGGTGACATGTAAAATGATGACATGACATGATGACAGCAGGGCCAGGTGGGCAGGCGTCAGAAGCCGCTGCTGGAGGGAACAAAGAAGGGAGCAGACACAGAATCCAGTGGGTGCTCAAGACGGAGATCATAGGGAGAGCCCGTGGTGGAGGCAGGCCGCCCTCTCACAGTCCAGCCTGCACACTCAGAATACTTTCTGGAACAAGGATCCTCTGTCCCTGGTTCCTAGTTCTAGAAAAAGTTATCTTCAACCCCCTTTGCCATTGAGCACCCACACCCCAATGCCCACCAAGGCTAAGAGGAACTGCAGGTGGGGTCCCAGGGGCTGCTTCTAGAGCAGGGTTAATTCCACAATGACCAGAGGGAGGGGCAGCCTCACTCTCCCTGAGGCCAGCCTGAGCCATCCAACTTTCCAGCTGAACATTGTGTAGAAGTGGCCAAAGAGGTTGGCCAGGCACTTGGGGCAGCTCACAAAGGGGAGGACTTCTGGTGACTTCACTACCCAGAGGGAGAAGGTGGCTTGTGGGCAGGTGAGCACAGGCAAGTTGGTCGGTCCCAAGTGAACACTGACCACCACTCCTCGGCCAACCCCTTTTCTTCCTTTCCTCTATGCCTCGGAAGCCAGCCCTGTGGCGGCACTGGGCCACACTGAACAGATGCCCCTTCTTCTCTGAGTCTTATGGTCATCATGCCCCCAATCTCTCTCTGCCCATACCCTCACGTATGTGCATTCTTTGAGGCCACCACTGCAGGCCTCTGCCTCCCTCACTCTGCTTTGGTGACCCAGGAAGGTTCCCCACACATACACATCCCCTCCTCCTTTCCCTGCCCTCAGTCCTGGGGTGCTCAGGTTGGCAGCCTCAGAACAGGGCCTCCACCCCCTCTTCAGTGGCTCTGTCCACTTATAGTAAGAAGAAAACCCTAGAAGTCCCAGTGTACTGAGAAGCATGTGCATTGGAGGCACCAACTGAGGGCCCCCAACATCAGTCATCTCAAATACCAGCACCGTCCTCCCTCAGAGCAGCCTCAGAGCATCTGCCCCTAGAAATTTATCATCATAGAGATAATAGCATAGACAAAGGGCCCTGGTCTGTGTTCTAAGCATCTCTCAGCTGCCACCACACAAACTCCTATTCATCTTTCAAGACCTAAATTCAAAAATCTCTTGAAAACCTGTCCCATCTCCTGAAGGATGTCAGTTCAGCCTCCTCTAAACCTTGTACCAAGCACTGTCTCAGTTCACTTCTTCCATTTTATTGTAATTATTTCTATAATATTATTTATTATAATTATCCTCTTTACCATGTGTCTCCATAGATGATGGGGATGCAGATGTCAGGCCCAACACTTGGCCCTGCCAGAGTGGGATGACCAGAGCACAGGGTGCCTGTGGGGTGGAGGTGTTTTCTTGGTGCCTGCTGGACAGTGGAACAGGAAGAGGTAGGCCCTCAAAGGACAGGGAGAGATTGGGACTCCAGAGAGCAAGCCAGCAGGATCAGGGTAGCCAGCCAAGGCTTCCCAGGATAGAGAGGTCACCTGTGGGTTGACCCCATCTCCTATGAGCTTGAGGTCACGTGCCGGCAGAAGAGAGCATGAAGGCACTGGTGTGCCTGGCACCTGGTGGACCTCTGCCCTTCACCATCACCCTCACACACAGGCTTTGAGGCCAGGTCTACTAATCTAGAAGCAGACAGGCAGGCTGGCAATGGGACAAAGGCTTCCTGAGGAGCCTGAAGCTCCAAGCAACCCCAACAAGGTGGCAGGGGGTGGCCAGCTGTAGTCAGGAAGAGCACCTGGACTGAGCCCCACCCAGGGCAGTTTGCATGGGGCCAAGCATGGAAAGGGAGGGCCTATGTGGGTGGTGATGGGCAGAAAGGAGGGTCCTTCATGGTAAGGCACCAGGAACCTTGAAGGTGCCACAAAATGCCCAGTGTGTGGCACCTGCACTGAACTCATGTTTATTTTTATTGAATTAATTTTAATTAGTTAATTCTTAATTGAGGCAATATTTGGATAACCCCATCAGGTATTGCCACCATCGTGCACACACCACCAACTCACCATAGTCCACGGTGCTTCCTGCCCTCTTTGTGAACTCACACTTAAAGTGACTTGAGATTCTCATCACAGCGGGGCCTCCAAAAATAAAATAAAGTGGCTTGAATAATTTGTGCAGATAAAAGGGCCCCAGTCATCAAGTATGATACGGGGCTTTTTAAAGTAAAGTACTGTTAATTTAAAAAACAAAACACTCTGAGGAGGAGTCCAGAAAGATGCCAGCAAAGTGCTCACCTCCTCTATATACTCACAACTAAATGGCAGCAGAACAAAGTAAATAATCCCTGAAAGATAAACCAACAACCACAGTACACACCAGCGTCAATGGCCCAACAAGACAGGGGAGGGAGAACCTGAACTGTGTCTGCAGTGACATGGGAGCAAGTACAACCCACGAAAGGCAGGAGCAGCTGCCACGCACAGAACTCCCCTGAGGGTGTTGAATCGGGGGCCCATCAACATCGGAGAGCCAGCACTGCAAGGGGAGGGGGCTGCACAGAGTTAGCAGGACAGAGGGTGCCCCACTGGAGACCTGAGGGAGCAGGAATGAAGAGTGGTGATTACTAGCATGAGCCTAAGGCCCCTGATATAGAACAGCTGGAGCCTGAACTGGCGGAAGAGCTAGGTCAGGTCACCTGTGTGAGGCTGTTATTTGCAGATTGATACTGTGATATTTAAAACACCTGCCACCCCACACCCACATGCAAAACTAAGACAACAATTGAACACTTCCACTAATCAGAATTTAAGCACTTGGATCCTAACACAGGAGAAAGCACCCAGGGCAAAGCTCTACACTGAAAAAGCAGAAAGTAACTCCTGGCTTGTGATCCTGTCTCAACTGCAGTCCA